GGGGAACAGCACAGGAGCGTCTCGAAATGGAAAGTTTGAAGTAAGGTGTTCAAACCGTGGACAATTACCATCAAGACCTAAATAAAAAGACTATAACAGGCAACTGTAAATTCTCCTAGTTCGATCACTAGTTCGATCCTTTCGTTTCGCCTTCCGGCCTGAGCTCCGTAGTTCTTGTTCTGCCCGCATAACAGCAGTATTAGTTTTTCTTTTGCTAAACACACATTGCAAACAATGTGCGCGAAGCTGGCGGAAAAAACACCTTGAATAAAAGTGAGAACAGTTCTTGTATATTGACATGTTGCTCTTGAGCATTCACACGTCAACATCACATCAGATCAAGGAAAAAGAACAAATGGCGTTTCCTGAATCACACAGCCAAAGAAACAGCAGCGAAAGCCTGACAACGCACTCCAAACGTAGGTTTTGTGAGGTGATCCCAAAAAAACATACTGTGTTACATATACATATATATATATATGATGCAAAGCCCAAGGCTCTCAGTAGGGCAAATGCGACCCTCACTGACGGCTTGACCAACCAGCCGCTTGAACTGTTTGAGATCATCCAGGCTAACACACCAGCGGTCCATTGGAACTTCTGCCTCGGCACGAGAGCAACACTTAACAAGTTGAAACACATATCCTTGCCTTGCGACCAGCCAGCCTAGAGGATAGAGCCAAAAAGAAACTCAGCAAAGTTGAAAACAACTCTGACTTCGGCGGGTGAGGTGCGTGCAGCTTGGCGCCATCATGGACCAGTGGTGAGTTTTCAATGGCAGAATCCCCACACTTGATTTTTGAAAGTTGAGGTTGCCTGTAGTGAATCACCAAGGTAGTCAGCAAGATGCAAATCAAACTTATTGATGAGCTGACCTCTGCAAAGGTTCGGACCGGTGCTTTTTGTGGGCCACATGCACTGATGCCGCGTCCAGGACAGCATCCGAAATGGACATCATATCCTTTCCAAGGAATACGGTCAAACTGTGGCCAATAGCCTTCGGCACACGGACACTCCTCAGAGGAGCTCATCCTTGCTTGAATTGGCAACAAGTGTCTATACCTCTACCTCCAAATCTATATATAAACACTCAAATTTACACTGCTATAGAATATTCCTTTGCGGGTCGCAAACTTGATCCACCGAAAATCATCAACATCTAAGCCTTAAAACAGATTAAAATAGAAGCTGAACAAAGAGTCCACCTCTAAGCTGCGATGAAATACAACGCACTCCACGTTGAACTGAACAACATGTATTGCACAACATGCAGTTGAACATATTTGAACAGCTTACTTGGCTGAAGAGATAACATGTGTCATGTATCCCCAAAGCTTCCCGCCCACCTGTCAAAAACGTATCCGACAGCCAAAGTGAGGATCAAACATAGAGACCCTGGATCTTGGCATAGGTCTGTGCGAAATCCTGCGCATCTCTTTCCCTCACTCGACCTCACCAAGAAGGAAACGAGGAAGAAACTGGCCAAAGTCATTCGCCCTGGAACTCGTGGTACGACGACTCCCACCTTATTGGTGAAAGTCGAAGAAAGCGCTCCCTCCTTGACTGCCCTGCCCAAAGCTTCTTGAGCCAAAAATGCGGGCGGAACTACTCGAAAGGCACAAATCTATCTCTGGCAAACTATCTCACAAAGACTTGGGTAGGCCACCCATGGCATGATGTCTTCTCATGTCGCTGCCCCCCTTTAGGATCCTTTAGGCACTTTAGGCCAACTTCCGGAGGGTGCATCCCACGAGCGGTAAGTAGCATCAACTCCTGGGGTGTTAGCACGGAGCCCACGACCAGTCGAAGTCAACTAGGTTTGCTCAGTGGATGGCTTTCTAGGAAAAATCCCCAAACTTATTTATTGCTGTGCACAGAGCCCATCTGGGATTTTCAATAAGACAACAATTCGTGGATGTGCAGGGATTACTATGTTGTGGGGGATTGAAGCAATTGACTCAATCTGCCAACTGTTCCCTTGAAGCAATTCATAGGATTCGACCCAAGTACGCAGTTCCACACATCTGATCTTCCCTCGTCTTTGTGCGTTTTGCCAACTCCCCGATCTGACCGGTTCTGAAAGCATACACCAGCGATCTGACCGATGTCTGGGACAAAACACCATGTTGAAATTCCCTGGAAAACCTCTCCTGTGGGACTGGGGCGTCTTTGCATCGCCCACAAGGTTCCTTGGCGTTGAGATATTTGGAGGGTCCATGAGGTAAAGAACACCTTCCAGTCCCATGGGGCCCGGGGCCCCATAGCGGCTAAAGGACCGTCTGCTCCGTCCCCCTGACTGTCTGCCGTTTTGACCTCCTTGGCCTTGGCGTCGCGGGTTTTTCGTGCTTCCTTGAGCGCATGCATCTTCCGCTGGTCCACTAGCTAAACAAGAGCCACGTAGAGACTCTCAAATGCACTTTCAACATCTGGCTATTTAAACTATTTGGCCTGAATTACTGAGCCCAACACTGCTCAAAAACAGGACACCTATGTGTAGGTGCCCCACATATTGTCAAAACCTCCACTTCTCCGAAAGACCATAGAAATACAATGGCAATGGAGTCTTTTTGTCGGTCTGCGCTGTCTGACCTTTCTTCCACGCACGGCACCCGAACCTCTTGAGGCACAGCGGTTTGCCAAAGACCAAGCGGACCAATCGTGGCCCGAAGAACGGAATCCGCGCCGTTTTGGCAGGCCCCATGATTGACATGGCCAGCAGCAGTGGGGGATAGACACCAACCAACACCACGTAGTACAAAGGATGCCCGTGGCCATCCAAAAAGAGAAAGATTTTGGCAGGCCACAGCAGCATCCAAAACGACTGCACTCGCGCAGCAAAGGCTTTCCGGTCCACAGGAAGGACCATGAAAAGGTATGCAAAAGCCAGTGCGGATAGTGTTGAGAGGACAATCAACAGGTAATGGAGAAAGGATCCATATTGCATCCCAAGCACGTGGTGTCCATACTTGAGCAGTATGAAAGGGGTTTGGCCAGGGAACGCAATGAACGTTACGAAAAGAATGGCACGACTCCAGTGGGAAGCATCTGTCAGAGTTCCGGTTCTTTCAACAGTAGCCCTGAGCTCAGGTGTTGAGATGTTCATCTTCATCAGCACTTTCACGGCTTCTTCAACATCTCTCCTGGGAGTTCAATCAACGGTCAAAACTAACGTGCATACCTCCCCAGAAATTATATACATCGTCTTTACATATATATCAATGAAAATACATCAAAATATGACATAACCCCGAGTAACTACTCAACAAAAAAACACATGCCCCTTTAAACAGAAAACACCATGTCGGAAACCCCTAAATATGGTTTATATGTGTCTTCTAATTGCCGCCCTTTAAAGCAACTACTAAACTGACAACATGGTCGAGTTTGGTGTAGGCACTTTTGCATTGCTTTTATATTAGGTTCCCCAAAGCCTGTATCCCTGCGCCTGCCACGAACTCTGCGCTTCAAGGTTCACAAAGCGCTGCGCAGGACACGCGAGCTGCACTGAATATTTAACAAACTATTGTTCAAAAAAGGATCCTCCCACTGACCCTATTTTGGACGGCCCCCATTGTGCAGGGACCCAGTTTAAAAACAACGCGCCCGAGTGTGTTTTAATTGGGGGGCCGCGTGTTTTTCAAGAGGTGGAAAGGATGGTAGAAACAGTCAGTCAAACAGTCGGATTTCCTCAACCAGCACAAGTCCCACGTTACAAATGATGCCTTCAGCTGGCTCAACTATATAGTGAGAGCGAGCTAATCCATTTTCCCTACACAGACGGACGAAAAGAAGGGCGCATGCCGGTAGATGCCACAACGACCGCCACAACAATCACGCAGACCGGTCAAGTCCGGTCAACATGAAAAAGATGGAAAGCTGGGTCTTTATGCAACCACTGACACAACAGGATAAGTTGTCTGACATCATGCTTGGCTTTGTCCAAGAGTCTCATGGCCACTCCTTTTCACTTCTGTCAGGATCTTCAGCTTGTCAGCCTCCTCTGAGCAGCCTGCATCCGACAAACGTCCACTGTAGCCTCGGCGTAGGTCTTCAGCAGATTCATCCGCCGACACAGAGTTCAACCGATCGAGCTCCTGGGATGGGAGAAAGTCGCTGCGCCGATATGGCGCAAACACGTCCGCTTTCCAAAGGGTCACCCCCTGTCTACAGATATCCAGGCCTTCATACCTCCAATCGCGGGTATCTTTTAGTAGGGGGTGGGGCATCCCTTCGATTGAGCTTGAACATCGAAACACGCTTTTGTGGTGTCCATGGCAATGGTTCCAATGACACCCAGCATGATGTACTCCACAGCGAAGAGCCAGTTTTCCTCGAAGAAGATATGACCCATGCTTGTATCGCAGGCGAAGCTCACGTTGCTCAAAACAGTGAGGGCAATCACGACAAACTTCTGCAAATGAGATTTGTATCCACCTCACAAATCTCCATTGGCCCGTCAGATTCGGGACATTGGTTGATGTCTACAGAGATCCTGCTGTTTATTATTGCTTCCATTCAAGCCGCGCGGTTTTTGGTGCATGTGTCAATATTAAGGCAAAAATTCAGTGAAGCGAAGTTCTGCCGCAAAGCTGACCTATGCAAGACTAGCCACCACACTTACCAAAGGACAAAGAGAGGAGGAAAAGGATCATGAACGGGACGATGAGGATGGTGCACGGGAAGTAGAATTTCCTCGCAAACTCTAGTGGCAACAGCAAACCTGCGGAGATACTTGCATGGTTGATGAAGAACATCCGAAGCAAGTAGGCCCACGCATTGAAATCCTGGCGTTGAAATCAGCATAAATCAGCAATGCCCAAATGGAATGAACCATAATGAACCCAAAACTAGCGCTGCTAGGGTGTCCTGGTCCTTTTCGGGGTCCATCACAAGAACACGTTTTTGGGACATAACTGCTGAACTTGGTGCAGCCCTCGTAGGCTATCATACCAACTAAAACACCCCTGACCAAAACAGGAATGCACACAAATATGAGCTTCAGATGATGTTGCATTGGTGATGGGCTTGTTCCAAGAGTAAGCCAGAAACGCCTCATAGACACACCAAAGCCTCGAGTAGATGCTACATCTGCGATTTGGTACTGCAAGGACATGCCTGCAGGAGTCCAAAGCCTTTGCAAATGGAGATTCCTCAGGTGTAGAAATCAAATCAGCAATGTCCATGTTTTGCGGATTCGATAAGAAGCACACGTAGGCCGCTCTCCCACCTCGTGGCCAGCTTTGAACCACTCTGTCCACGAATTCATAAATACCTTCAGCCCAAGCGTGAGTGATGAAAACGTCGCAAGGTAAGCCATCGGGATTCTTCATCAACGCCTCACTCGGTCTTTTCGGCATTGCAATTGGTTTCATGTGAAGGTGAATGTTGGAGGTGTCCGCACAAAGGGTGAGGAGGGAGTATCAAGATCCACTTGTTGTGTGTGCGTGACAAGGGGCCCTGAAATTTTCTAACTAGACTTGCTCTGAAAGTGTCTAACAAAAAAAGGACCACATTTTGGCCAGCTGAGAAACCCAACTGACATTTCCAGCAGCGGCAGTCACTGGCTTGATGTATTGCTCGGTGACGGTATACATCGACGGGCCGCAAGTATAGTCTTTGGGGTCAAAAGGATCCATCCTAGACTCGCACAAGACAGCACGAGTCAGTGAGTAAACATCACGAGATCACTTTTTTCTCAGACCACCACCATGAAACACACCCCCACAGCACAACAACATGTAAATGCACAAATATATATAGTGTTGTTTCTTCTGTGCCTTTCAATTGCTTCAGGCCCGGCACAAAATGTTCGTACCTGTCATGTGTATACCCCAAACCTAACCCTAGTTAGCTTTCACTCGCATTGGCTTTAACATCTTTGCAGACAGGTGACCACGTACATGAATTTAAATACAGTAAATCATAACAAATCAACAACGTACAACAATCATAAACTAAGAACATGCAAGAGTTACGCTTTGTGGAGGGCACTCTCCGAAGAAACTCACATGAAAGTGGACGGCTGATCGTGCCGTTAATAGAGAGTCCCAGGCTCATTGTATGAGCGAGCCGCTCTTGAACCAACATATCCTCCATCAACCATGTCCTAGAGATTCCTAGAGCAAGTTCATCCTCGAAAACAAGTCAAATCACTTCCAAAACCACTTACTTCGACAAAAGTGGTCAATCTTGAATATACACAAGATTCTGCTTCAAAACAAATGAATCAACCGTTTTACTCCTCATCCTCTGAAGAGGCGATCAACGTGTCTGTCCTCTCAACAGTCTTCATTTCGTACACCCTCCAAAAGCCCTACCTCAAATTAAAAAATCAAGGTCATGGAGTCATGCATCACATCACATACCTACCTACCTGGGTGCCAGCCGGGGAGTCAGCATCAGAGCCATAGTAATTACAGTATACAATACAGAAATGCCAGCAGAGGTTGAAGGACCCTATAGACTATTCCATAGGTACCCCAGTAGCGTCCTATAAGGTCACCTAACCTCTCTTGGTGTTGTAAATTATATGTTTTCCACCTTTGTTGAGGCAAACCGCTCGGTCTTGAAAACGAGTTGCTGCGGCAAAGCGAGTTCGGGGGTGCATGCATGTGCTTTTGCAAAGCCCAAGGCTCTCAGTAGGGCAAATGCGACCCTCACTGACGGCTTGACCAACCATTCGCTTGAACTGTTTGAGATCATCCAGGCTAACACACCAGCGGTCCATTGGAACTTCTGCCTCGGCACGAGAGCAACACTTGACAAGTCGAAACAAATATATATCCTTACTTTGCGACCAGCCTAGAGGATACAGTCATAGAGAAACTCAGCAAAGTTGAAAAATAGATTTGACTTTTGGGGTGAGTTGCGTGCAGCTTGGCACCATCATGGACCAGTGGTGAGTTCTCAATGGCAGAATCCCCACTCTTGATTTTTGAAAGTTGAGGTTGCCTGTAGTGAATCACCACGGTAGTCAGCAAGATGCAAATCAAACATATTGATGAGCTGACCTCTGCAAAGGTTCGGATCGGTGCTTTTTGTGGGCCACATGCACTGATGCCGCGTCCAGCACAGCATCCGAAATGAACTTCTTTTTCTTTCCAAGGAGTGCGATCAAACTGTGGCCAATAGCCTTCGGCACACGGACACTCCTCAAATGAGCTCATCCTTACTTTCTGAATAATGGCCAATATGTAGAAACTGCAAGAATATTAGTGGTGTTTAAGCATCATTTACCAGTCCTCCTTGCACGTTTATCCACGCTGGTGTGACAAAGAACGCTTTTTGGCCACTAGATGTCCCGACAATTACAGTGAACTGTTTCCATCATATCCGATGGCAAGCATCTGACATAGAGACCCTGGATCTTGGCACAGGTCTCTGCGAAATCCCTCGCATCTCTTTCCACTCGACGTCACCAAAAAGGACACAATCAAACATGTGGCCAACGTCCTTCCGCAACTCATTCGGCGGGGTCCGGTCGAACTCCTCGTCCGCCACGGACCACGGACCGCTTTTTGGAGCCAACGCGCGGACAGTCCGGCACTGAGGAGCATGGGATCGATCGAAAGAGGGGGGCCCAAGAGGGACCTCAGGACCGGCAGAACCGGCAGAGTCTAAACCTGTCGAGAAAGACACCACCAGGCGTGGGTTGCGACCCCCTGGTTCATATGGAAATAGACTCTGGTCTACCCAGCCTGGGCGAGATTTCGGGGGTCTCCCTAGTAAGATGCACACCCATCTTCTGCGAGGCTCCGAAGTCAGAATTCTTGACACTTCTTGGAGGGAAAAGAAGTCGGGAACTTGCAGCAGTGTGAAGATACTCACCTGGGAATTGGGAATTTGATGCATCTTTTTTCAGTAAGCTGCCTCTGCATGCACGTATGTGCCAGCCTCTTGCGCTGTGCAAGATTCCACTCCGCACAAACGATCTATCGTCCGCACAAACGAGCGCATCTGGGACAAAAGATCTGTACTGGTCAAGGGTCATTTATAAACCCTGACATATATCTGAAATGCACTTGGGGTGGTCAACAAGTTAATTACTCTACGTCACGTCACTCAGAGGTCTGAGAAGTGGCATTGAGGTCCATTCTGATGCCAACAGTAACTTAATGTATGGATGATCAAAGACATATTCCATGTCAAAATGCGTTCACAGTTTTTCGTCAAAACAGCGTTCTTCCATGTCAGAACGGACTACTACGCTATGCCAACTAGCTCTGTACATGTTCCATGGTTCCGCGACATGGGTCTGTACATTTCCATGTGATTCTTTGCCAGATTCGCAAAAGAAGAATCACACATCATGCACTTCCATGGCTGGGGGAGACACAAATTGTCTCTGAATTACTGTTTATAGTACATTCAAAATTGGAATCGAAGATCCATGCCTCAATCCCAAACAAATTGGTCTCAAAACCTCCACCCTTCAGAGAGGCCATACTTCGGCAGCGGAGTCCTTTTGCTGGCCCGAGCTGCTTCTTTTCCTTGGATTTTGTTGAGAAAGCTCGGAAAGCGGAGCAAACATTCCCCAGAATGAACATTCAGCCATATTCAGCCACATGCAGCCATAGGACATAGGACAAATCATCTAAAACCAAGCAGAACCAGGTTTCTCTCCACCCTACAGCACCTAAACCTCCTGAGGCACCGAGGCTTGCCGAAGAGTAGGCGGACCAGCCCAGGTCCCACCAACGGGATCCGCGCCGTCATGGCAGGTCCCATAATCGACATCGCCAGCAGCAGCGGGCAGCACACGCACACCGAGACGAGGTAGTACAAGGGATGCCCGTGGCCATCCTTGGATTGGCTCCAAGAAGCACCTGCAGCCTGGAAAGAAGAAACACGTTTAACGGGTTCCAGAATGGTCCCATAGTTTTTGTGTGGTTTGGACATGAGTCTGGGAATGCTTCACATGTGTGTTCTCAGTGTTTCCGAGCATTCACCAGGTATTTTCGGGAATTAACCATAGGGAAAAACACAAAGTCACCTTAAGCAACACCAGGCATCACAAAAGCCAAAGACCTTTCCAGGCCAAAGCAGCAACCAAAGAGACTGCACTCGTGCAGCAAAGGCTTTCCTGTCTGGAGGCAGGACGATGAACAGCCCCACGAAGACTAGCACCTCTATTGCTGAGATGATGATCAACAGCCAGCGTAGCCAAGCTCCAACCTGCATCCCAAGCATGAAGTCTCCATACATTAGGAGTATCAAAGGAGTTTGGCCCGGAAATGCAATGAAGGCCGCAGCAAGAATGGCGCGACTCCAGCGGGACGCATCAGTCAGAGTCCCCGTTCTTCCAACGGTTGCCCGGAGTTCAGGTGTTGAGATGTTCATCTTCATGAGCACTCTCAGGGCTTCTTCAACAGCACTCCTAGCGCGCACCAAGGCACCAAGAACACACAGCACGGGTGTGGGCTGAAAGCATCACCAAACCTGTACATATATATATATATGAGGGACGGTCAAAACTCCTTATTCTTCTTCAGCTACAAAATGGACGTCATCGGTTTTGAGGTGGACCTTATCGTTTTACAGCGTTTTGAGTTCGTCGCATACTTATGACCATATACAGCGCTGGGGTTATCGGTTTTGAGGTGGACCTTATCGTTTTGCAGGGTTTTGTGCACAAACCTACCCCTCTTTACTAAAGTGGTCTTCGCATGTTTTGACCGTGGCTCATATATATGTGAAAATAATATGTCACGCTAGTATACAGTATACATGTAGTTATACGCTCCCCGACGTCCTGCTACTTACCTTTGAGCGATCTTCATGAAGGGTTGGATTTGCAGATGGATGTTGATTGTGTTGGGCAGTTGGTAAACAATAGGTGCATGCACAAAACAACATGTGCCACAGTGACACCAAAATACTTATTAGAACATTTTTGGGATGCAAGATTAAGGGTCCAACATCCAGCAAAGATTTCTTGAATCCCATGCCAGGATTCATGGTTCAGATACAGATTTCAGGAAACAATTCTGGAATCCCATGTGGGATTAAAGATTCAAGAGTTCAACAAATTGGATTTAATGCATCCTGAAATAATCCCACCACACTTGCAACTAGTTGCAACTCCTCCAGGTTCAAGACTGATAGAAAACACCTATAGTCCTATAGTCTCAAAACTCCTGGGCACAATGGAGTCAGATACCTGCCCGCCACTAGATGCCCAAGCCATTTGACAAAAAAAAACAACCAATCATGAAGGTGCTTGTGCCCTTTTTCAGCTGAACGTGCCAAAACGCGTGGCTTTTTTGTGTCAAAACAAGGTCAGGACCATTTGGATGACTAAAGTGACTGACGCCAAGAATCTCATGGCCACTGATCTGCACTTCCTCCAAGATCTTCTTTCTGTCACCTTCCACTGAGCACTCTGCATCTGACAACCGCCCACTAAAGTCTCGGCGTAGGTCTTCAGCAGACTCATCCGCCGCCACAGAGTTTAGCCGGTCGAGCTCCTGGGCGAAAAACCAGAGCGCAGCGCACACGAGCTCGAGCGTGCGGTGCTCGATCAGATTGATGCATGTTGCGGGTCAAACACCCCACAAAGAACCTGCCTAAGCGAGGGGGGGACCAAGAGGGTGTTCGAACCAGGAAGGCCTTTCCCGGTTGAAGCAGGTGATTCTCCGTGAAAAGCACGGCACAGGCGACCGATTCAGTGAAATATTTGTAAGGTTTCGTTGTAGAATGTGTTTTGACCAAGTGACTTGCAAAGCTTTACTCTGCAACATATCCGGGAAGGAATAACAATTCTACGCCGCCACCGTGTGCAGCTCTTTTTCATGGAATTTCTCGGGGACCCCATTTTCCCCTGGAGGGCCCAACGTGTACGATGCTCTCCAGGTGTCCATCGCAACAGTTCCAATCAAGCCTAGGGAGATGTATTGCGCAGCAATGAGCCAGTTGTCTTCAAACAAAGCACGGCCCATGCTCACATCACATGCATAGCTCACACTGCCGGAGATCACCAGGCCGATCACGGCGAATTTCTGCAAGTGGGACTTGTACCCACCTTATCACAAATGCATACCAATGCATTGCCAAGTCGTGACCCACATGGACCCTGAAAACATCTGAAAACCCGACCGGGTTTTTGGATGGAAACCCTCTTCCAGACTGAAACCATTGTCCAGGGTCCATGCGAGTTCGTCTCGGGGAGTCCATGGGAGTTTACGGGAGCGACTTGAAGGAAGCCATCCCCGAAGAGAAAGGGCAGATCGCTCAAAATCATGTCTCGAACCGGTCCTCAAGTCGCGAAACAGGGATCCTTCACCTGTCACCTCCCTATCCAAAGAGGTGAAAACTATGACATGTGGAAAAAACATCGGCTGCGCTTTGCATGGCGGAAGCCACCACATTTGCTGAAGGAGAGGAGGAAAAGGATCATGAAGAGCATCCCCAGAATGATGCATGGTAAGAAGCACACCGTCGCCAGGTTCAAGGGCAAAAGCAAACCCACGGATAAGCTCGCCTGGCTGAGAAAGAGCATCCGCAGCAAGTAGGCCCAGGTATTGAAGTCCTTGCAGAAGTCTGAGTTGAAAGGTTCACACCGTAGCTCTATGTAGTTCTGTAGGGCATTTGGGTCAACAAAAACCCCTGCCCAAATCCGGTACATGTCTGAAGCACCTCAGTTTCAACCTGCTATCACGGATCTTCCCCCCGGGATGTCCGTACAATCTACACCCACTTCACCGGACTTGGTCTTCCTTCACGATGGCCTTGGAGTCGAGCCCACGGAAAAACATATGGATTTGGGAACATACAATTCCCGACAAGAGTGGATGATGGTTGGTAAAGGCCTCTGGCAAAATGAGTGATCATCTTTTACCCTGTTGGTGGTCTCCTGAGACACGCCCCAGGGTCCTAGGGTTCTACCACTCATGCATTCAAGACTGGCATTTCCAGTGGTAAGACGTGGTAAGCCTTAACAAGCCTGACCAAGGCATCAAATCAAACCTTCTGATTGGGAACAGAAAAAGTTGGGCGGGATCGAGCAAACGCAAGCTACACCAAAAAAAACTTAAAAGGTTACAAAAAACGTAATTTGTATAGGAAACATATCTAAAGGACAAGTCCTTTGAATTCATGTAAAGGACAACTCCTAGAGTTCTCTTGGGAACTCTGTGACATCAGTGACGCCAGTTGTCAACTGTCTCTCCAAGCAATTTGCTGGACGTATACAGTATATATACCTGGATCCTCCTTTGGGCGGAAAAAAGTGCCGGACCTCAATCCGGCAAAATTTTCCTCCGGATTCCGAAAAAACGCCGGAGACATGAAAAAGCATCCGGATCCAAGATTCAGAAAAACAGAGATGATAAAAGGCTGGATCATACACAAGGAACCTGCTTTCTGGCGCACACTCATTCCACAGCCCAGCACTGGAGCCTTCCCGTTCCCATTGCCCTCACCCATCTTCCGAATGGCCTAAGAGCAGAACCATCACAAAATGTAAGCAACTCGTGCCCAAGCAAAGACTTCCAAAAAGAAACCAAGGAGTATGTGGCAAGGAACCCCTCTTTCTCTGCAACCGTGTCTCTAAAGTTTTTTGTTACAAAGTGGGTTGCTCTCCATGTTTCTTTAAAGCTTGCCTCAGAATGGCCCCCCCGAAGAAAGTAGCAGAACTCATGGTTCCTGTCAAAACTCTTAATGTAAAACTTTTCAATATCTGCAGAAGACTCAGTCCAAAAAATTACGCCGGAGTTACGGGAAATTACACCGGAGTTACGACGCTTAATTTTTTGTGCAAAAAACATTGAGATTCTGAACAACACATGTTCCACAGCCCAAGACTTGTCCGGCAGGCTCTGCAAACCTGCGCAGCTGGAACTATATCCCAGCGCCCCGACATCCTGAAACAATGGGAGTACGTTTTTGCCTATGTTCTTTCAGCTTAGGTACGCCCACTTGGGTCTTTCAACACGTACATCGCACTGTAGCGGTTTCATCAGGTTCATTTAGGAGATCACCTAAATGGATCTGATTGATCCAGTGTGAACGATGCTGAAACCGGTGGAATGAGAAAACAGCGGAACAGGTAAACGAGCAGACTTTGCAAACAAATTTAGTTGCATCAGTAGTGGGTTTACAATCAAATAAATTACAAAGCCTTGCGAATCAACATAAAGTGACTTGGAAAAAGTGCCGGACCAAATCCAGAAAAAACGCCGGAGTTTGACGGCGCCGGACCCTGTAAAGGTGCCGGACTGAAGATCTAGGTATATCTGGTGTTCTCATGGCAGGGTGACCCCTGCAAAGACACAACGGCAATCGAGGTTCATGTGATGTTGCATTCGTGATGGGCTTGTTCCAAGAGTAAGCCAGAAACGCCTCATAGACACACCAAAGCCTCGAGTAGATGCTACATCTGCGATTTGGTACTGCAAGGACATGCCTGCACGAGTCCAAAGCCTTTGCAAACGGAGATTCCTCAGGTGTAGAAATCAAATCGGCAATGTCCATGTTTTGCGGATTCGATAAGAAGCACACATAGGCCGCTCGCCCACCTCGTGGCCAGCTTTGAACCACTCTGTCCACGAATTCATAAATACCTTCAGCCCAAGCGTGAGTGATGAAAACGTCGCACGGCAAGCCATCGGGATTCTTCATCAACGCCTCACTTGGGCAGTTTGGATTTAGAAAGCCCACCTTTTAAACCAAAAATAAGCAAACAATAACACATGCAAAAAAAACACACATCCTAGAAAGCCCTGTTGTGAAGGTTTCTGTGGATGTTGGAACTGTCCCCAGACTCTGCACCTACTCCAAGAGCTTCCTCAATCCACTACATTTGGTCAGCTGAGAAGCCCAACTGACGTTTCCAGCAGCAGCAGTTACCGATTTAATGTACTGTTCGGTCACCGTGTACATCGATGGGCCAATGCTATAGTCGGTGGGATCAAAGGGATCCGTCCTAGACTCGCGTGGAAGGCGCCAAAAACCCAGACAAGTCAAGCGCCCAAAGTTGAGCCTTTGGCACTTGAAAGGATTTATGATTGTGGGTGGCATGACCAAAGAACTATCTTCCTCACGTGCGTCCACTTCCAGGTTTGTTGGAGGGGGGACCGGTCTAGTAGAGGAAGGCCCAACGGCCCAAACACCTGGAAGGACTGTACCGGAGGATCAACGGGCTGCCATCATCCGATCCCTTTTTCAACGACCCAGCAGCCTGCCAAGTCCTTCAAAGCCCCCAGCGAAAGCCAAGAAGCAACAAAACACGCCGTCAAAGCCTGGTGGGGGTGGATTTCCACACCGATGATCTTCTTGCGAGATAAAAAGCAGTGGCAGGGGTCGTGGGGTGGTTTGAAACCTGATGTCCCTATAATGCTCCATGAGTGTGCATCCAACCCACATTCTTGACATGCAAGTCATTCCCAGTCCATCCAGTTGGTCACATGGTACAAGTAACACCCAAGGCTCTCAGTAGGGCAAATGCGGCCCGCAGCCACAGCTTGACAAACCAATCGCTTGAACTGCTTGAGATCCTCCAGGCTAATACACCAGCGGTCCATCGAGACTTGTGCCTTCTTCAGATCAACAAACGTGTTGACTCGTTTTCTCCCGAGTGAGACACATGCTACAACCTGAACAAGACCAACCCAGCTTGACAATACCATCTCCATGATGTTGACTGGCATTGTGAGAAACATGCTTAACCTGAACATTGGAGATCAGTCTTTTGATGTTGGATGTCGAGCCGCATGCAACTGAGCACCATCATGGACCAGTGGTGCGTTCTCAATGGCAGAATCCCCGCTCTTGATCCTCCAAGCTTGAGGTTGCCTGTAGTGAATCACCAAGGTAGTCAGCAAAATGCCAAGCAAGCACAGTGATGAGCTAACCTCTGCATAGGTTCGGATGGTTGCTTTTTGTGGGCCACATGCACTGACACCACGTCCGGGACAGCATCCGAAGTGAATTCCTTGCTCTTTGATGCTATACATGGGAGGGTCAATTTGAGGCCAATAGCCTTCGGCACAGGGACACTCCTGAAGCGAGCTCATCCTTACTTGATGAATCCTCAGAAAAAACAAATGTTCTCTCCTAAAATGCAGCGATGGCAAAACCAAAGGGGGCTGATCCTTCAGGAACTGACAGAAGACAGCAGCTTTACGGGAACGTCTTCCCATGGTTCCCTGGGTAATTACAGTCTTCTCGGCAACTTACCTTTTCTTGCTTGGACAGATTTGGAGGGCATAAGAACTCAAATTGAATGTTGAAATAAGCTCAAATCATTTCCGATTGTCAAGTGAGATTCTCGCATAGAGACCCAGGATCTAGGCATAAGTCCTTGCGAACTCCCATGCATGTTCTTCCCAGACTGGGCACCAAATGCAACACGAGGACCAATGGAGCTGCCCAAGTCATTCGACTCGCGAGCGCACCGGTCACCCCAGCGCTTTCCGCCGCTTTCCGCTAGGGCGCTTTCCGCCGAGGCGGGTTCCCCACCCTCTCGAGCCCGAAAAAGGGTAGACCGGGATGCCGACATCGAGGTGTCCATGGCAGCACATCCCTGCAGGTTTCTTGTGAAGCAATCAGATTTTTCCGTGATCGCTTTGGGCTTTTTGGGCTTGGGAAAGAGTTGGTCACGAGAAGGGTGTGCAGAACATTGCAGAACTGATCCATTGATAGTATTTATGGAGGTGCCCAGGCAGAGAAACCTCCGACCTCCACGACCTCCGGAGCGTCCTTCGTACAGTCGTCGGACGGACCCGGTCTCAGCTTGGTCTTTCCCACGAAGGTGCGAAGGAACTGGGCCAGCGTCTTGATGTCCAAATGTCTTGTCGGAAGGAGGGCAATCGTACCATTCCCTAACTCTTTTTAACATAAACCTCCACCCAACCAGGGTGGCGAGAGTGTTTTTCCCGTCCTGGACAGGTTCCAAGGCTCCAAATGACCACCCCTCCGTAGTTTTTTTTTGGTTAAGTCAGTAAGCTAAAAGCACATGCCGATGACCTGCATTTGGTGCTTTTCGCCACCCAGTTCAGGTCGACCTTCAGACCCCCTACATCCAGCCATCCTTCAGGCGCTGGGAAAAAGCTGGTTCATATGCAAATCCTTGCCTTTTCTATCCGTTTCTTGTGACTTACTCAGTCCAAGCCGATCTCAGTCTTCGACCCCTCTTTCGCCCCTCTTCCTCGGCCCGGCCTCAAGGCGCGCGGCGATCCTGGTCTCCTGCCGCGGTCCGAGCCGGGAATCAAAGACGTGTCAGTGGCCAAAGTAGGGGGTACCTGGTAGGACCAATGAACTGGGTGGACCTGGGGGGACCTGGTGGACCAATGAACCAACCAACTGCTACACATGGTCAACCGAGCCCAGGGATCAGGGGTCCGGGTTTTGACCCACAGCCACTCCCACAGCCATATTGCTTGTACACTTGGGGATCTCCCCCATAGACGGTGTGTTTAAATCTAAAGGGTGACGGACAAATTCAAGTGCAAAGCCAGTCGGAACTTTGGTCCAAGAAACATCGTCATCCGGGTCCATACCATCCACTTTCATTCGAAGAGTGTGAGGGAACAGGAAACCCTGATGTCCACTCCCAACACTGTGGGTTTTGTGTAGGCATTCCCTCAAACCAATTCTGGGACACTGCCGTGTGAGTGAGTTGGAGGGTACCATTGCTTGGAAGCATCGGCCAACAAATGCTCCGGTGTGTGCTACCACAGTAGTCAGGTCACATCAAACGCGTTAAATCACGTCAAGAACAGATTGACCTGCGTCTTAATTTACCTTTACGCACTGAGCACGAACCACATCATTTACTCATAGAACCAAAACTTCCGGATTCCGGATACTTCACGGCTTGCGGCAGAATGAACACCCGTGGGTAAGCCCATGTAAGCCCTACCCTACTCAATCAACTCTGGTGCATTTCATTCAACACACAATTGAAGTGCAACACCTGTTTCATCTCTTTACGGTTTCCATTCCGAAACAGCAGCAACAACCACAACCGACAAACAAACAAAGAACAACAACAAAAGAAAACCACAACCAACAACCACGGCGGCGACGACCTCAAACCAAGTGAACACCTCTCAGACCTAAACTGTCCGCCGATCGCGACTTAAATGGGTGAGCCTCTGGTAACTTTCAGGATTTGCAACACCATGCCAACAATCTGAAACCATTTGCTTCACGTGCAGCAGTCTGGGGATTGCCACTGACTTCACTCAGAAACTGGGAACGACGACGACGTCCACTCTGCCATGCTTCATCGACAAAACGGTTCCATCGTGTTCCATCTGTGCGTGGCCATCTCTCCGGCATCGTGCCTGCTAATCTCTCTCGGAGCTCAAGCTTCGTCCCTGCGCGGAACCCGAAAAGGGGGCGACCGCTGGTGGCCTGACCGCCGGCCTGGCCCGTGGCCTGGCCATGCCTCCTATGATGGGGACAGTCGTGCAACATGAGTTTGGTGGTTTTGATCCAAGTCACGAAACAAAAAATCAGGCCACCATCATTGGAGCGAGCGCCACTGACTTCCATTTCACCGAGGGTGCCTAAAGGCATGAAACCGCTTGAAGTGGCTGAAGTCTGCCCTCTTTTGCACCAAATCAAGAACAACGGAAGACCTCCTGGGTTGCTATTCGGTTTTCATGGTCATCCCTATGGGGCGGAAGCGGTTGCCGGTCCACTCCCAAGTCAGCTTCAGGCTTCTTGTCACGGCTGGCTGAAGCGAATATATAGTGAACACTTACAACCCCCCGAATGCAAGTAGCGCCATTCAGGGTGCCTAGCCGCTGTCGAACTCAAATAAGGATGCTCAAAACTGTGGTCCAAAGTTCCAAAGTGAATGGATTCAGATTCATCATTCAAATGCTTCATAATCAGGTGGTCGCTTGTCTGAAATTGGCGGGCTGCAAAGCCTGGGACTTGGCCCCCACTGAGCTAAAAACAACCAATAGACAATTGATATCGTTCGAACATCTTATCTGGATGGTGGATTAAATTAAGCCCTTTCCCAACAAATTAGTCCAGTGGCATAGTCATCCGAGGTCATCCCCAAATTTGCTCAGAAAAAGGCAAGCTTAACAAAAATGTGTACAAAAACAAAATGGAACCCACGAACCTGAATGCAAACACGTACTCGAAAACAAAACATCCAAACAATTTATGACACTCTTGTAGGAGAAACTTTGGTGGGGCACCTTGTATGACACTCACTCTTGTGGGACACTCTTGCAGAACACTCTTGTAGGACACTCTTGTGGGACACTCTTGTAGGACACTCTTGTGGGACACTCTTGTAGGACACCCTTGTAGGACACTCTTGTGGGACACTCTTGTAGGACACTTTTGTGGGGCACTCTTGAAGGACACTCTTGTAGGACACTCTTGTGGGGCACTCTTGTAGGACACTGTAGATCTTGTAGGACATTCTTGTGGTTCTACCCTTGAGGCTGCGAACATTGAGAGTACCAACCCTCAAGACACCATCCCCAGCGAATGCACCACAGCCCGCTGTAACCTCCCGAACAGCACTCATGGCTGCAAAAGATCACTCGCCTTCCCTGTGAGCATTGAGGAAAGCTCACTCAACTGTTTGCGTCGATGAACAGCTCGTGCCCTCTTGGCTGCTCTTCAGTCTGCTGTAAAACGCGTTCTCTGGCACCAAGCAACTTTTCCGCAAGGAAACTTAAGGAAATGCTGCTTGCGAGCAGAAGCCCTCCTACACTTGGTGCAACAAAGGACTGCTCGGCTAGGCTTCTGCACGGTTATGAGCACCAGCGTTGCTGCTGCTGCTGTCAGCAGACTCCCGTGGCTGCAATTTTGACAGTATAGATTCAAGGCGGCGACTTTAAGCTTCAGACTCACTTTCAAAGCTGTCGGCAAACTGTTGCAACCTTGATATCATTTGTTTTCTCTCAGGACTTCCAATAATGAGCTTGGCCGAATTGGCAATAATACTCAAACACATTGAGAACCACTGGGGTTTCTTCAACTTACCAAAACAGGGAACCCGAACAATTTCACAATCACCTTGCTTGCCAGCTTTCAAGTCAACAAATTTCTGAGCAATGCCTGCGCTAGTTTTGACAACAGTAGCCTTGCGAATGTTACGGCAACATACGGCAACGCGCAGGAGCACTGACACAAAGAAACAGTTTGCGATTGGCTTCAGGATGAGAACGTTTGGCATGTGCTAAACAAACAGCACACTGAGCATCCTTGCTCATGCAAAGCTTAGGAGGAGCCGCATTTTCAAGTTCGAAGTTAGCAAAGTCACGATCAATATCCCTTCACGATCAAAATCCCTGCTACGTTTGCTACTGCACACAGAAAGCGTGTTTTTCTTCTCCAGGTGATCGCTTAGAGACGCTCTGGATGACATGAGAAAGCAAGGCCGATAAACGTGTGCGTCCAGCACTGATAACTGGGGGGCAAGGCAGAAGACCTGGTGAAAGCAAATCTTGAGCTTGAAGCTTTGCGGCTGCTAGCTGCACCGCCTCGACCTCCTTGCAACGGACCGTTGCAAACTGACTGAAGTGCAGCTGCACACAAATCACCTTTAAGCCATTCATAGTGGTCGTCTTGACACCACAGCGCAACAAAACCATCGTTGGAGGAAGTGTTATACCCTTCAGGATGCACCAACTTTGCACTGTCATAATGGGCGGCAGCTGCCGCAACTTCAAGACATCCTGCCCAAGTACCAGCCTTGCCAACGAACGAGATTCAAATAACTTGCGAAATCACCTCATAGCTTTCGGCTGGGATCCTGGTTGTCCCACCAAGGCTCGTAACGGTCAGAGTGCCGTCGCAGGTGTGATATCACAGCTGCACGAACACCTCTTTGGTGCTTGGGCTTTGCCTGACCAATCGCTTCAAAAAGGCCATCACCCTTGCCCCCTTGCCTTAATGCAAATCACCCGTGTGATTTTTCGAACCTTCTCCTTCCATCTCCTTCCCAGTTCTTTGTACCTTCCCTCCCTTTGGGCGTTTGTTTCTTGTTTCGCGCCTGAGTCTTCGAGGCCCAACGTCCTCAGGGCGGCCCTCAACTGTGGCACCGTCAGCGAGGCCTCGGTCGCTCCGGTCGGCGACGCCCAAAATGGGTGCCATGGCAGCGATGTCATGTAGACTCTTGATGAATAAACCCCCACATGATGAACAGGATGCTTTTAAATCAAATGGAGGGGATCGTTATAATCAAGAGTCTACATGAAATGCCGAAATGATGCCTTGTATAGATGCAAAACGTATGAAATCATGTTGCACGGAACCGTGTGTGTATGTTATATATGCGTGACTTCATGGCTTCTTTCCCTTGGCGAATGAAAAGCACAACGATACTCCCATTGGATTGGTCCTCTGGTTCTAGTTGGGGGTAGTATCAGCCCAAGATTTGACCTGTGTTTACACAAAAG